AAATAGCTGACTAACTAATGGTTGCTGCCATCATTAGCTATAGAGGCCTAATTATGGCAGCGATGATAAATAGCGCACTCCGCTTCCCCTCACTAATAATAATCACCAACGTAAGTACGTTTCACTGTCGAAACTTTACTTCTCATAACTATCTAAAAATAATTATTTAAACTACTATGGTTTTTATGATTTTTATTATCTTTCTACGTAAGCGAGCTTCAATTGAATTCTACAAAATGTCGTTTCTCTATAACAAAACCGAAGTATCCACAGTGCATGGTTTTAACTTTTTAAAAGCGTTACGGTCCGTTTTTGTCGCAGATTGAAAATTTATACACAAACATTTTCCACAAAACACTCTTCCGATGGAAATATGAGTCGTTCTATAAGAGCCGCTATGTTTTATGCGGAAAGTAAATTCTAAATAGAAATCCCTTTAAAAAATACTTAAATTGCTTCCTTAATTATTCGAGTCGTAGTGTGGTCCATTAAACTGGGATAGATTTTTGTGGGATAGGATGGTATATATGGCATTACGTCTACCGTTGACAGGCCCACTCCGCGGCAACGACAGGATTGTTCCATTATCGACGGGGGATGAATAATTGACAGTGTCGAGTGAGCTCAGTGGATGCGGCGTTGTAGCGATAATGTTATAGTGCGTGACACGTGTAACAAATTATTTCTATGTGTTAATTTGTTTCTTCCTCGAGTGTTTTGTTAATGTGTTTTGTAAAGTGTTAAAACAAAGAAAGTTCCGGTTGGAGATATTATTTTTAAGTCGCAAGATGAATTTACAATACTAAAGTGTATATTGATATCTACATTATTAAATAGGTTATGAAAATAAATACAAGTTTATTATTAACCTTAGGTGATTATGTGTTATTTGAACGTTGCCAAAATAATGTATACTTAATCAAAATTCGGCCACCACAAAACTACACAGTTTAAATTAAACGTAATCAAATTATTCGTTGGCAAAACTGAGGCTAACTTTGTAGAAACAATCCGGCCTTAATATAAATTAAACACGGCCAATGTACGAATATAGTTTCGTAGATCCAAGTGTGAGGATGGTCGCAACTTCTCAAGCCCCGTTGACACGGGGTCATTGCGAGGGTAAACATGCCGCTTCCAGCCCAATTGCCAACTTACCCATAAGTGGATTGAATTCAGAAGTCGCCCTTTCATATTTGAACTAACAGCATATGTACATTAAGACTAATTTATTTGAGAGCGATCTGTGTACCCAGATTTGGTGTATCGGATTTCCATGCTTCTTCGGTAACTTTATTCTTTTATTAGTAAGCTTTTAGTTTTATTAATGTTGTTGTGTTTTGATGTATAGATGATTAATTACTTTTGGGTATTGGTGTCTAATTCCATTTACGCTTTAATTTCATGTGCCTATCTTTATCAAAATATTAGTTACGATTGGATTGCTCAATTAGTATATTAGGTTTAGAAATAGTTTTGTTTACTTGTACCAAGGCAACCGACATAAAAGGAACATGATAAGTTGCTTCATTTGTATCAGATTTTTACTTAGCTCAAGTTTACCTGATACACGTTCATTATCTTGGTACTCTCCGAGAAAAACGGTTTCCATTGAATAAATCCGTGTTCGCAGCTCTAATGTATAAATTCTCATCGTGTGTAGCAGGTGCAGTGAAACGTTCATTAGGTATAAACTTTTATTGCCATCTTACTATGAATGCACTTAAAGTGCTTTCTCCTTGTATTTCATTCAATCCGTGCATTAAGTTTAGAATTGGCTAAGAGTAATCAACTCCGATTTTAGTTTTTATTATTTGTTTGATGGTAGGTAAATTAAAATAAAATAAACAATAAAGTTGGCTATTTTATGGACCATGTAGTATTATTGTTAATTTGTATTTAAAACCCGTACAAAGTAGTTATTAGATATATTCTGGGCATTGTGTAGATAGCTACAGCAATTATAATCATTTCAACTTATCCATACAATGATAAACGACCCTAATGTTATATATCTACATAATAAGAAATCTGACTTTAAATACTTGAATACATTTAATAAAATTTCAACGCAATAATGCATTGATTAATTACAATGAATCTAATAAAAAATGTTTTAGAAGTAAGCACTAAAAGTAAAGAAAACGAAGATAATTTAAAGATACGCTGGGCTATTACAGAGAACTGATTTATGAAAAAAGTTTCACAACCTTAAAACCAATTTAGAAAAAGTTTTTTGTATTACGTTACGCTAGAAAACGAGCAATTTGAGTTTCTGTAATTTTATTTAATAAAAATAATGAGAAGTCAGATGACCCATTTATTGTAAAATATAGCCAGAGACTTATTTTTAAAAATCAAAAGTGTTTTAGTTATTTTTTGGCAAAGGTTAGGTACACAAGCGGATGAGAATTAAGTTGTTTGTTTTATGTTCGTCCTGTTTTCAAAAAGTTTTGTATTTGTTTCTTTTAAGGGTTGTTTTACGTATTTTTCGCACGTAATTTCGTAGACCTTTCGCGTTTGACCGCATTTTTATGTTAAAAATTTCTACGGCCTTCGTACTCTCGTCACTTTGAATCGTGTCAATTCAATAAACGGAATGGTCTGCAGAATAACAATTATTATTGCGCCCCTACATTATATTCACTTCGTTCCTCAATCTTTGTTTTATAATTTACTTTTGAAGTAATGTCAAGCAGAAGGGGGGATCAAAGCATTTGAATTTTTGTTATTAAAGTTATAATGACTAAAATAGATTTTCAAGTTACCGAGCGAGAAAAATTTCGTTATAATGAAATTATTTTGTGGGGTGCTGTTTGTGTTAAACGTTTTCATATTAAATAGGTTGGTACCTTATTTTTTTAATATTTAATACCGTTTGTTTTATTAAGAATGTTTATTGTTTGAGAGTAAAATTTTGCAGTGTATGAAATTTTAAAATGTATTAACATTAGAGAATTGTATTTTAAACCTGATTGAAAAAGAGCAACCTATGGAGTTCTTGATGAATGATAAATGAGCAAATAGCTTCACTTTTAATTTGTTTTTTTTGACGTTCAAAAGTGCATTTCTGTTCTAATTGAAATACCTAAATGATTATGACTTTGACTTTTGACATTGTTTTTTTATTATTCGAAATAATGTAGGTATAAAAGATAAATACATTTATGTTAAAGCAATACAAACAAAAGAAATTCAAAGATACGAGACTATTCGAGCGCAATTGCTCCGCATTTTAGTGAAAATTCCATTCCCGTTATCGCAAGTGAAAAACCAACGTCTGCTTATTTGTTTAAAAAGCTTTTAGGGCTTAAACGGTGCATGCGAATTATTTGGGAGTGCACACATGTGCCTATGTGTGTTTAGTCAACATCGTTTGTGAGTAAATGTTCCTATTAGGGAGGTGAAAGAGCAAACGCGAGATAGTCAATAATTCGTGACGTTATTTAGGCATTTACATCGAGAAAAAACATCGATAAAGTCACGGTTCTCGGAAGATGGCCAAGGATATCCGGCTATGCGTCACGTCACTAGTCCCGGTACATTTTGTTTGTGATCCTTCCCCCTTGTTAACCGAATTACTCGTATGTTATGGGAACAACGTCTTGTGACCCTCCGAATACATCTACTTTAGGAGCTTAGCAATCGCTGCTACTGTCGAAGGGACAATTTATATGTATTTTATACGAATATGATAAAATCGATAGTTTTTTTTATATAGATAGTTGTTTCATGATCGAATTTCTGTTAATAAATATGTGAATTTATTTTAGTTTGTTGCGAAACAACTAAATATTTAAAACAAGTTACAGAAATACGTTATTCATGGAAAAAATAAAGTAAAAACTGACAAATGGTTGAATACACTTTTGTGTGACGGTGTGAATTTTTAGCATATAAAAATTTAGTCTAATAGGTGGTCCGTTGAAATGTTGAATAACATAGTAGTGAATATTTTTTGCAATATAATTTCGAATAGGTTTTTTTTATTATATAGGTAGGTTGGCGTGAATAATAAATGGTTTTAATTACGTACCAAGGCTAACAAACGTTGAATAGTAATAAATATTCCTTTAGCCTACTGGCCTGAATTCATAGATACTTAATAAACATTTGTAGTAAAACAACAAGTTTTAATTAATTCATTGTGTTGTATTAAGTCAATGACCGCAATTTAATAATTGCGTTGGTAAATCTATTGATTTAAACGAACTCACATGCTAGATATACCTCTTTTAAAAAATAAAGCATAAAATAAATCAGTATTCCAAAATCGAAAGTTAAAAATTACAAAGAAGTTTTTATTCAACTGGCGTTCGAATCAAAATGATAAAGACAAAAATACTTTGTTTATTAACGACCAGACTACTCGCACTTGTTATCATTTTATTTTACTGCTAGCAATTAAACATAATTGCATAAATATTTTGATAAAACTGAATGATAACTAAAGGCACACAGTTTAATATGATAAATAACTTGCTTCTTACTATAATGTAATAAGTTTACTTGTTTAATATAAAAAATAACGTTCAATAAAACAGCGAGAAATATTTTTATCTAAGGAACATTCAATCGCAAGGCCAGAGGGCCAAGATACAAAGGAAACAGGAAAATACTTATGTTATTATACCGATATTTCATGTTCCCCGTCGACGAATAAAATAAATACAATTTAAGAAGAAGCATTAAATAAAGTTTGTTTTTTTATTCCAATAACAAAACGACCTATTAAATATCACACTACAAGATTATTTCGAATAATTTTCGAAATTCGAACGTTAAATCAAAATTAAAACAAAAGACAATAACTGAGGTTACAAAGAAAAACAATAACAGCGCGGCTAACTAGAAAGTTTGAAAAGAGTTTGAAGGAGACACGCTAAAATACCGTCAATCTATTACTTCCGCAACAGTAAAACATAATTCGTATTTTACACAAAACTTTTTACAAGTTGCCGACCAACTCAATAAAAATGCTAATTGCACTATCAACTCACCTGTGGTGGTGCAGCAGCCAGTCAATAACTCTATCCATATAACACAATATAAATGTATAAAAGGAGTCATTTTGTCCGAGTCACATTAGATGATTGTCCTTTTTATGGTCGCGCGGTTCACCTGTGTTGTTGAGGTCGTACGCGTGCGATAGGGAACCGTTGGGCGGGCGTGGAGCGTCCCATCGCTGGGCGGGCTACAGAGGCACTGCCGCGGGGCGCCACTCCGCCGCGCTAACTACCCCCAGCCGGATAAACAACCCCGAGAAACCGGGAACAAGCAGACAAGCCGTCTCGCTAGCCTTTATCGCCGCGACTGACTAACAGCATAATAAAATAAGACAAAAGACGAATAACCAAAGAACAAGCCGGCCGCGGATTTCTCTCCGATGTGAATCATCAAATTAAATCGGTAACAGATAAACTTGGACTTTCTATCTGTGGCAGCAATTTTGTTAGAAGAAAACAATGTTTGCTGTCAAACTTTGAACCGCTGGGCGTTGAGGCAATTTTGAGCAATTATAATAAACGTATTAGCTTTAAAATGTTAATATTTTGTTTATAATTTGTTTTCGAGGTTAATTGCTATAAATTTATAAATAATGAAATAATTGCCTCAGTGAAATAATACCACCTGACGATAAAACTTAATACCTATAAAATTAAGTTGACAGTATTTGTGTCATGTAGTATCTGTTGTATGCTTAATCTATATTCTACTGAGCGTCCATACGTTCCCCTCATACGCCACGGAACATATCCACCACAATCTACAATAAAAATACTCAAGTCATAATCACGCATTACTAAACATCTGAATCAGCCAACATCCCGTATAATATGACAATAACGAGTGTCTGAGGGCAGAATGTGCAGTGTTATTGCCGTATCACGCTGTAGGAGAGTGTCTCGACATCCCAGACACTCCAACCACGAGACCACTGCATCGCAATAATGTTGTTCTTAAGTGTAACTGGCCCCTTGTACCTCGCCCCGAGCTTGTATAGACTACGAAAATATCAGGGTTATCAAGAGCGACAGAGCGTTCAACAATATTCAAGATAAAATTGCTCTCCAAACAATGTTATTTTGAAATTTTAGCTCTATCGTATTGACATAAATCAGTTTATTGAATGAGCTATGCAAATATGTCCATAATGATTTTATTTCTAGGTATCAATTATTTGTTTTGGACTTAAGTAAACAATTGCCAGTTTTATGCTACCTCTATTTGCGCTTTATAAATTGTTCATAATATAAATTTATTGGACAGCAAATAATGTGTTATAAAATATTTTTTATTATGATATTATTAAGCCATATATATTATATGATATAATAGGCTAGCGACCAGATACTGAACCGCTGCTCCAATTCAAGTTGCACTTAAGTATCTCGCTGCCTCTGTATCTTTAGCGACAGAAATTCTTATAAGAACGTCTTAAAGTGGAGTGGTTTGAATATTTTGCCGTAGTATTGAAATTGAATTGTAATTTGTGTGTAGTCGCCTGTCATGTAATTTTTGCAATATAAGTTATAAAATCAACAACGGAAAGACCTTCTCATAAGTTTCAAATCATCTTATCTGGAATGGTATAGATACGTGTATGTAAGTACTTAACGTCACACTTTTGCTATATACTATGCAAAAGTGTAATAAATCTAAACCTGTAAATAAGTAAAAATTTAAAACCAACAATCGAAATAGAAAGCCTCGTGAGACCAAAACTAGTTACATGAAATATTAAATCACTTGAAAACGTGTTGGGCGAAATTGTTACGTAAAATCAGACATTTTTCTTATAGTAAAAGTTGGAACGTGAGCCAACCGTGGAGCAAAAACTAAAAATGGGCTAATTGCTTAATTAGAAACAAAGTTGAACATTCAGGAAATCAACCTCGAATATTGGCCTGGGGAATGCAGATACTCTAAAGTTTGGGACGGCTCGCTCTCATATATAGGCCCAAATAGAGAAGCCGCAAGTTGACTGCTGGTTTTGGACGCAAAATACCACCCCAAAAAGAGCACGCCCTATATTGACACGCTTTGACGTAGAGAAGTTGGATGGGGAAATAAAAACTGTAGTTCGCTATTCTGCACTGACCTCGTATAGGTAAATACCGGCTACTTTAAAATTGAGCGCTGAAATAAAACTACTTTAGTCTGAAAACGTTTGAAATAAGTGCTTTTGTAATGGTTATGTACGTTCAAAGGTGAATTTTATTGGCGGGAAAATGTAAAAAAGAATACGTGTATGAGAGTAGTGCTGTCATACAACTGTCAATCAGGGAACTACGAATGTAGTGACTGGTGACGTGCCGTCGTGCGACAGATAATCCTTGGCGTGCCCTACTACTATTATAAATGCGAAAGCTGCGAGAATGATGGATGTTTGTTACAGTTTCGCAATACTAATAAAAAAACGAATTTGAGATAATATCTGGCATTCAGCAAAAACAATGTTCTTTTAAGTAATTGAATTCTAAAGTCTGACCGAAAATCAATCTTGATTGAACGGTTGGTACGGCGGCTGGGCAATTGGCTGCCGCGTAACATGTAGCCATAGGTTCGATTCCCGCACGCAGTAACTCTTTGTGTGAACCACAGATTGTTGTTCCGGGTCTCTGTAATGTGTATGTGAACTTGTATATTTGTAAATGCACCCACGACACAGGAGAAAAACCTAGTGTGGGGCAACGTGTAACGGCAATAATATAGTGGCAGCTAATTAATCTGGAAATTCTACAATTAATTGATAACAAGTTTATTAAAGAGAAATATCGATTTACACAGAAATGACCAGTAACCAGTTGTGGTAGATTTAATGGAGCAGTACTATCAAGTACCTACTTATACGACAATAAGTTCACACAAGTCATGCAAAATATATATTATTATAATAAGGGGCAGCATAAAACTGCGTACAAACTTTTAATGGACCGACTCGTTCAAATCGAATAAAAATTATGTTTGTTAGTAGGTACATTAGTCTGTCCCAATTTTTACACACTTCGGAATTATGGTTGTTAATCTATTATTGTTATGATAATTAGATTACCATAATATAACATAACATCACGCTTTTTTATCCCCGCAGGGTTAGGCATTGAGCATTACGGAACTTAATACCACTGTACTGAGTCCCATGTAATAGGGGGTTGAGCCTATTGCAATATACCGGGCACAATTCTAGACTCCGCTACTCCGCTACTCCGCGAGATTTAAAAAAACCCAGTAAAACATTGCTTGACCTGGGAATCGAACCCGAGTTACCTTGCCCGACAGTCGTACTTGCGACCACTCGGCCAACGAGGCAGTCAATGTCAAGTGTTATGATAATTCTATATACCTTATTATATAGGTATATACATCCTAGACTAGACTAATACGTGTTTATTGACATTGACATAGTCACTGTTTTAGTACCTAATTATAAATATGATTTCAGGACAAGTTTCTTATTACCTATATTTATAGTCAAAATTACCATTATTTTATCATTTCATAATTACCAAAAACTGGAAATTCAATGCTGTTCCTTTACATTACTTCAGAAAGTACGTCAAGCTCAGATTATATTATCAGAGATGGAACAGAGACTAGAACAATAGATGATATTGCATGCATATTCTTAAACATGTACCTAAAATATACTAAGCTACAGTGGGCTACTAGAATTTGTACTATTGAGACAACCCAAATAGAAAATAATATCAGTACCGTATTACACTATCTATAAAGGTAAAAATATTTATAGAAAATATTCCATCATTCTAGTACAAATTTATTTGAAATGAAACTATTGTCGATATCTTCTTGTTAGATAAAATTATTGTTTAACAAACTCCGCCCCTACTCCACCTTACAGGTGGCATTATATTACATGGATAAGAAAATATTTCCCTTCTCATAAGGCGACGATATGAAAAAGTGGATACGCTTGACAATCTTCATATTAATTTTCACATTTTCCGAGTAAGAACATTGTATGTATTATGGTAAAAATTGTTCCAGAATATAATTATGTAGGTTCATACTAAGCCAAAATTATGTGAAGTCAAAAAAAATGATTAATTTAAAATACTACTTGATAGAGGGCATTAACCTGAAACCTCTTATTTAGTAGTCTACAGCGTTAATGGTCATTAGATTAGTGAAAAAGAACAGACAGCCTCGGAGTAATTAAAATGAAACTATGAAGCCTCCGCTTTACATTTTTTCGAACTAGTTTCGGAAATAACTGGCAACATAGTGGAATTTTTACCGTTTCCAATCTGTCATAGATTCGAACATTTGAAATACTTCGATCGCTGCTTAATAACTGGAAGTAGATTAGTCAAGAAGCCGATATTCATTGTACTGAAATCAAATCCCCAAGCTTTGACCACCTCCCTTTATATCTATGTACCAAGTGGTATCTACAATGTTGGTCTCAGAAGATCGTTCGAGGCTATCTAGAAAGTTTATTCATGAATGTTATAATATTGTTACTAAAACATACCTAATACGTAGGAGCTTACCGTACCACGTTATTTAATACAGTATCTTTACCCATCATAAATTCTCTTCCCTATCCAATTATTAAATAGCAGAAAGGTCCAATTCTCTGAAAATTAATTACATTAAAACCTTCGCTTCAATTTAGCTCGACCACTGACAACACGCAGCATACTTTCTGTTAGTAACGCAATTAGCTCTATCAGAAGCTTTTGTTGTCTGCTTTATAGTCTCATCCTGTTTACATTTTTGCCAACTAACGTAGCCATAGAATAGATAAATTTAAAGTGGCCTGGTTAGATCTATAATATACTAGCGCGGGGAGGTCGGAGGAGAGTGCCCGCTTCTATAATAATATATTCATAAGACAGCATTTTACCATCACGGCTGTCAGTGACGTTTTTACGAAAAAAGAACGGGCTCAGGATTTATCGCGTAGATAATTATTATCCGTAGTTACTATCCGTGTTACTTTATAGAGGTCTTTGTTGAAAAATAAATTGCAGTTTTAAATAGAGTATAGAGGAACAGCGCGGTAAATATTGCTTTTTCCTGATAGGTAAATAAAGCCATAA